TTCGCTTCGTTGAACCAACCAATTTCAGTAGATCAATAATTATCGATAACTCTGTAAGTTGGAAGAACTCCATGCATTACGACACCTCGATAAATTTCGTTATGTCTATAAATAATGATAATTCAATAAATATCGATAACTTGATACATTTCTTTAACTTGACAAATTTCGTTAATCCCACACGTTTTTATAGCTCGATAGCTATCCGTAAATTTGTACAACTAAGTTTCTGTGTCTATTAATTTCGACAACTCAGTAAACATTGATCAGTTTGAATAATTCGATACGTTGCGATAACTTAATAAGCATGGATAAATTTCGATAATTATAAGCTTCGATGATTCGATAATTTTCAGTAACCTTTATGGCTGATTTTATTTCGATTCCTATCGGAAAATTTCAACTGTGTTAACCTAATTCTTATGTATTTCTCATTGTCTCCATTTTCGCCTTTATCTCAATTTTCGTCTTTATCTTCACTTTTGCCTTTTGTTTTGTCTTCATCGTTATCACTTGTTTCTTCATCTTTATATTTATCTTTATTTCAAAGTTTAATTTCAAATATGAAGTAAAACAAAATGCGAAACAGCTTAAATTGAACAGGTTGCAAAAACAACCATACACAAATATAGAAATTTTTAAACGACGATTTTCAACCAATTTCGAAACTACAAAAACTCTCCTCATCTACAGAAAATTACCTTTCCAACGGTGTTTTTGGTTTTGAAATCGGTAACTTTACCTTGGTCTTCATCTTTGTTTTTATCTTTCACATCTTTGCTTATATCGTTTTCTTTATCTATTCACGTAGATGGGATGAGGTACGATGACGTGATAAGATGTGACGTGATTTTATATGATGTGATGAGATGTCATGTCATGTGTTGTCATATCCTCTGATGTCATGTTATATGATGTCATACCATATGATGTCATATCATGTGATGCCACGTCCTGTAATGCCATGTCATATCATACGATGTCATATCATGTGATGTCAAGTCAAGTGATGTCATGCCATATAATGTGAGGTCATATCATATAATATCATGTCACGTGATATCGTGTGATGTGATATCATATTATGTGATGTAATATCATATTATGTGATGTAATATCATATTATGTGATGTAATACCATGTGATGTCTCTTCATATCATGTGAGAAAATGTGATGTGATGTCATGTAGTGTGATCACATTCCATGTTCCGATTAGTATATCGATAACCCTGTTGATAACTGTGTCGATAAAAATACCGATAACAATATCCATAAACATATAGAAAAATACAACGATTGTTAAATCGATTAATTCATCGATAAATACAATAATCATCAGTATCGATTATTGTACATATCGTTAACAATATAAATGACTAAATCGATAGCAAAATCAATTTAATCGATTATTATGCCGATAACAATATCCATTATTGTATCGATAAAAATATCGAGTTTTATATCGATAACAATAGCGATCTTCATCCTCATCCTTTTCTTCATATTTATCTTTATTTTTGCATATTCCTCTTCACCTTTACCTTTTTGCCTGTACCTCTAGGCATCTTTGTTTTTGTTTTTATTCTCAAACCGCTAAACCGCTGAGAACCATGTCCATGTGCATTATTCCCCTTGAATTTGACAATTTACTCCCAACCAACGAACTGCCACTAAAGAAGTTTCACTTCATAAATTCAAGAAATGTTCTTACCCTTTCAGTTACCCTAATTCTTATGTATCTGTCATTGTCTCCATTTTCGTCTTTATCTTCACTTTTGCCTTCTTTTTTTTTGACTTCATCATTATAATTTATTTCTTCATCTTCATATTTATCGTTATTTCAAAGCTTAATTTCGAATGTGAAGTGAAACAACATGCGAAACATGTCAAATTGAACATGTTGCAGCAACATCTTTACACAATTCGAAAATGTTTAAACGACGGTTTTGGCCGTAGTCTTCGCCCAATTGTGAAACCATAAAAACTCTGCTCATCTACGGAAAAATACCTTTCCAACGGTGTTCTTGGTTTCGAAATCGGTTCGGTAGAATCGTCAAATGAACGGAGACAAAATTTATGTTAGCGTATTAATATATAGATTTATAAAGCACCAGCAGAACGAGCAGCAAAACCCCCAGGGAATCTGTTTCAGATCAACCAGATATCTTAAACTGACAGTTACCGAAACGGAGAAATTTATTACTGAATTATTCTAGGGAGATACAAAACATTAAACAAAAGCTTGGCCAAAATATGATTCCGGAAGATTTGCATACGATAAATAGGGGAACTGATCGACATTATCATGTATAACATATGCAAATATTTAGCCTTTCAAATCCAACATATTCACCTTTCATGAACCGATCCATTGAAATTTTATACTTACACTCTAATATTAGGGGAAAAAAACACAGGGGATGATGGCTATGGCGACGCCGCCATATGTTATTTCTAAACGCAACTTTTGAAATCTGAATGGTATACTTTTAAAAACGAAATCGTATCTTGTAATGGCTCCGATCTTGACCTATCCTTCCCAAACAAGCACCATTTTCTTTGAGGGGAAGACTGGCCGCATTATATTGACTTCCACCCATTTTCCAATATTGGTCACACATGAAGAACACAGGTGCCTGGCCCGAAAAAAACCTCTATTTGAAAGTTTACGACAAATCAATCTTGAACCAAACCTTGTTGATATTCATCTTCAATAACAAACTGAAATTGAAGCAGCCAACTACACTTTTAGCTGCAATAGAAGCCCAAAAGCCCGTTGGACCGATGGTCTTGATAAAACCTGCTTCCTTAAAGTAGTCTTCAAGAAATCCGAATCCTCACCAAAACCTCAAAACTTCCAAGAATTAATTTAAATCCAAACAAGTAATTTTTAAGCAAAAAACAAAACCGACTTCAATTCTCATATATATATATATATATTTCATTATCCAATGATCGGATCTAAACCAGGTTAGTATGGGACCACCTCTGATACACCACCTTTTCGATGCAAAACGAATTACCGAAATGGGTTGACGTGGTCCAAAGTTATGCGGTAACATACATAAAACAAAAAAAAAAATCCGACGCTGATAACCTCCCCTTTTTTTGGAAGTCGGTGAAAAAGAATGGAAAAACAAAATATGCGAACTATAAAAATGATTCCCCACCACAAAATTTGTGGAAAATTCAAGTTCCTTCTGGAAACACCTTCTTACCAATTAATAAAGAAGTAATCAGACGGGGCAAGGCAAAAAATGTCTGGGCCGCATCAGAGCGAGGTTCTTCAACATCTCGCTCATTTGCGCCCTCGCCCCGACGGACGAGAAAGACGAAGCATCCAAGGATCTCTTTTATGAGCGCATGGAGAACACATACGACCGCTGTCCCCCTCACGATATGCAATCATTCTTGGCGATTTCAATGCCAGGGTGGGCAAGGACAAAAACGCCCTATAACGGACTGAGGCTGCATCTTCTATTGCCAATAAATCAAATTGGTATTGTCTGTTAGGAAAGTATGTTTGAAGAGTTTCTCTTCTAGAGATTTTCTTTGCCACTCTAATATGGTTGACCATTGATTCTTTTTCCCATGCTGCGCATCTAGATTTGTCTGAATACGTATGTTTTCACAATTGTATGACCCAACATGCCACATTTTAAGCATTGCCTAATGGCGGAATCATAAAATCTACATGGAGTATAATCTAGAATAATATGTTTTGGTACTTATTTGCCTGAGAAGCCTAACTTTACCGTAATTGTAGGAGCAAATGTGTTATCCTCAGTTCTACACGTAAAACGTTTTACTGACAAAATCGAAGTACTGGAAATGGTACTAGCTATTACCGCTATAACCGCATAAAGACGATAAACTTAAATACATACTTATATTTGTGGCTCAACTCATGGCTATGTCCATCAGGAGGACTTCGAAGTCGTCCACAATAACACATATTTTCATATCGCTCAATTGGCTAATTTCCTAACAAAAGCTAAAGCTAGATTTAAAAAAAAATAAAGAAATTATCACAGGTGAAAATACCGTCTACCTCACTCAAATCGTCCCAACCGTCCGTTCATTTAGCATTCATCACAAACGTCCATATCATCGACGAACCTATCCGTTCGGCTTGCAAAAAGGAGCATTTTCAAGAAGTGTACTTACTGCTCGCACTTTGCTAAGCTTGGAACTAAGAGCCTTATTCTGTATCACGAACGATAGGTAACACGAACGATTCGTCTGCAGAGGAAAGCTTAAAAAAATAGTACAGCGGCATCATTCTAGCCGCTTCAAAAGCAACCGAGACCAATACAACGTTATATATGAAAAGCAAGACGAATACGACCGATAGAGTAATAAATCGCAATCAGAGAAGTGGTCATCTGCAGACGAATCGTTCGTGTTGCCAATCGTTCGTGAAACAGAATAAAGCTCTAAACACATCGAAAACGACAACACCACACGACACGACATTTTTTGAACGCGGCAGCGACACATGAATTTGTTTGAGTTTGACATAAAAGAAGAGGAAGAATCTGATCTGTCGCTAGAAAAATAGAAATAGATCCAATCTGGCCACAGCTACATTTTTGGCTAGTCGCAGGGTTGCCGTGTTGTCGCCAAAATAATTATCTACATAAGAGTACGTGTTAAAATAATTTGACAGCTGTGGTCCGTAGCCCGTCGTTTCCAATGTGTTTCAAGCTTAAGGCTGTAAACCACAATATTTAATTTATCAGTACAGTTATTACGCAGTAGACTTGATTCAAATGCAGAATAGTCAAGGTAAAAATTGGGTTAATCATATGTCTTACGGCCAAATGTAATTTTTTTTTTTTTTTTTATAAATCGCTACTTGTGACAACAATGCTGATCGTTAGATGAGTAAACTAAATTGGCAGTGTGTGAACACCGAAATCCAAAAAAAAATTTTAATCGAATCAATTAAAGTCCTGTATGAACACTGTACTAAATTTCCCTTATTAATGACACTTACCAAGCAAACAGCACTTGTTGGAAATACCAGTATATGCGTGCATGTCACATCTTGAGGTGTTGATAGCGGATTTTGCATTGAAATTTGCGAAAATCTTTCATCCGGTGTGAATTGATCAGGCATCACGCGTAGCTTAGAATCAGGCTCCAGTGTCACCAAGCACGCGCTGAGTATGCCTGGAGGATACATTAATGAGCACTGCTTGCAGATGTCCTTCAGTTGTTTGGAAGCCTTCTGCAGATTTTGTTTACTCAGCAACGAGCTCCAAGATTTTAGTTCGCTGTGTCCGATGCGTCCAATACGGCCGACCACCAACCGCCATGGATGCGCCGTCTGTGAGATTAATCCCATAATGAAATCCATCAACTTCTTTAGCCCCACTCGTCGCGCTGGTGCCTTTCGTCTTCGTGTACGATTTGGTACGTCGATATTGATTATAATCTTTTCGAACATTTCTCCACGATCATCGGTAACAGTGGCCAACAACCAACTCTGATCTTCGCTCAGACAATAGTTGCAATACATCACAGAATACTTTTGTTCATTCAGCGCACGCATACTAGCGGACTGGCGTGAGAAATCCGTTTTGTCATTTTTTTCATGCATTGGAGCCAACACATAAGGTGGCGTATACATTTTGTATGGCTGCCGGTTCTTATCCTCTTTACTCTTTAGGAATGCTTCCATATTGGCGGCTGTGCCGAACCCGGTTAGACTCTTCACGGCCTGCGTGTGCACCAAATGGCGCCGGCATTGTGAGAAAATATTCAACGCCAAGCACCTGATTTCATCCGAGAAACGTTTACGCGATCGAGAACGTCCTAATTCGACTATTGATTCCAAGGAAATCATTTGGATGTTCATGTTAGCGCGAACCGAGTCTGGTATGGATTTTAATAGTTCTGCGTAGCAACGCAGCAAAGCAATACAAGCTAACCGCTCCAATTCGGGTGAATCCGAACCAAAGGTAAATGGCTCCACTATGTAAAGCACTATCGCCGGTGGATTTACGTCCTCCATTGTTTCGCCCATGCCCAATGGATCGCTAAGTACAATTGGTGGTTTTGCATCTGCTTTGATATCTGGCTTCATGTCAGTAGATTCTGGAGCATTTTGTTGTTGTTGCTGTTGTTGTTGCTGATGTTGTTGCTGTTGTTCCACACCTTCCATTTTCGGTGAGTTATGCAATTTTTCTGCATCAACGCCTCCCATTCCACTAGTACCTGTGGGACTAGTTGTACCACGCTCACGTCCAGCTCCCGGTTGACAGCTATTGCTTTCTGGTGGATTTAGTAAGGTTTTGTCCCCGGGGATGCGGTTGAGGTACGGTACGATTTGATTATGAAATGCGCTCGCATAGAGTCGTATTTTCTCAGCTAATTGCGAATCATCTAACGTTCGCAGCCAATCATCTAAAGGTGTGCTAGTTGGTGTGTTATCTGTGGGCGCGCGAGGACCTACAGTCAGCAGGCCATCCCAGCCTCGAATAGGAGTATGACGACCCAACTTACACATTTCATAGGTCGAGCTCAATTCTCGAAAATATGTTCTCGTATTGTCCACCGCAAAGTCAGTTTCAGGACAGACCACCAAATAGACAATGTCGCGTGCATATGCATAGGGCTCTAGCAGAAACTTATCCCAGTAGTGGATAGCGAGTGGGGCTACCGAGACCCAGTCCTTGTCATGACCGACAATTACCGACGGTATAGGTTGTGGTTCACACTGACCAGAGGCACGCCCCGCTAATCGATGAAATTGGCGCCATGTTAGTGGTCCACTTACAGTGTAAGTAGCATCTTTACTACCGGCCGCGCTTCGTGACTTCGAATGGAATGCATTTTGCAACATGGGCTGCACGAAATTCATTGTACGCACTATCTCTTTGTTGCTGCGTGTGAAACCAACTGGAATGTACGGCCATTTGTGAACTGTTAGTCGGCTGCCAAACAAGTGCTTATAACGACGTGTAGAGGCAGATCCCGCTGTATGGAAAGGAGATAGTTGTTGCTGGCCACCAAATTCATTTACATCCATACGATTGCTCTCAAAAGCCAGTCTGGCTTGTTCTAACGCAAGACATATTACATCGTTAGCGTCTACGAATTCTAGAACATTTGAGATCGCAGCTATAGATTGCGGCTGTCGGCTTTGTCTAGCTAACCGATGTCGGTGACGTTGCAACGCACGATGTATGGAACTGCTGGACGTTTGAATTATAGAGCACTGTTCCAGTAGCAAATCGAATATGACATGTGCGTTTTGGAGAGCATGCGCGTCTGGTTGCGCATGCTGCCCCTTTTCTGCTTGTGTAGGTACCAAAGGATTACCGCTCTTTATAGGCAATGAGGAGGCGCTCAAAGCTGAGCCTGATGGCGTTAATGCTGTTGCTAAGTTTGCTACGATGGAAGGCAATGATTGTTTTTTATTACGGCCGGGATCCTCGGCTACGCCTGTGATCTCCATTTCATCCTCGTAAAAGAGACCAGCTCTAAATGCAAGTCGTCTATTAACTACTGCACTGAAACCGCAGGTGCAATCTACAGGGTCGTCATCCACGTAGCCCGTAAAATGTTGATTACTGCCGGGTGTGGCCGATGAAGAAGATGAGCCTGACCCCGTGTGCCCAGATGTTCCTGGTAGAGACGCTGGTGAATCCAAAGCACTTCCGCAACCAAAAGCACTCAACATGCGCATGTTTGCTCCACCCACACTGCTGCTGCCGCCACCACCGCTTGCGCCTATACCAGCAGTACCAATACTACTGTTGCCATTCGCTGACGGTGGCAACGGGTTGAAGCTTCCGCCCGGCAGCGGCACGTAAACACCAGAGTCTGCACCTCGTATGTTGCCTACTTTCTGGGAATCCGCATTGCACACACACACAGTGCTGCTGTCGAAGTTGTGGTCTCGGAATACATTTAACGCAGTATCATACAGCAAGATGTTGACGATTAGTGAACTCACTTCGGGCAACTCTCGAGCGGCGACCGCCCCTGTCGTTACGCTACCTGATACAAGATTACCGGCAGCGCTCATTGGTCTAGGAAGATGTGTTGAAGGCATTCCAACGCTTTGTGGAGTTCGCGGATGCTCTTGTGAATGATACTGTTTATTTAAATACGAAGAAGTTGAAGTGGCCGGACTAGCCACTGCCATTTCATAGGGTGGCGGCGGATGGCGCTGTGGCTGCATCATGGGGAACGGAACCACTGATGCAGGCGCTGGCGATATTGGCGACATGCCAACTCGATGCATCATTTGCTGCATGCCTGCGCTGACGGACGTATTTGTGAGTGCCGCTTGCGGACAATTCAACTGGTTCAGCAATAAGTTATTGCCGCTGCTGCCGCCACCACCACCGCTGTTCAATGGCGTGGGCACGGTGTTGGTGTGCATTGGTGATGGGATGGGTCCCAAAGGTGTTCGCGGCTGCTGGAGAGGTGTGCGTGGAGCTGCTGTTAGCAGTTCATGTAACTGTTGATGTTGTTGTTGTAGTTGTTGCTGTTGTAATTGCTGTTGCTGCTGAGCCGCCGCCGCCTGAGCAGCCACTACCGCGCGAGATTTCTGCGTCGTCCAAGAGGGCTTGTAAGTGCAGTTGCTTGGCAACGACAGCAGTGGCAGCATCTGGCTCGGTAAATTCGTAAGGGGAGCGTACTTGGATGATCCCACGAATTTTGCACGTTTCGGCGGTCGGTAAACATAAGACCAGTCCTCGATTGGCTCCTCCACAGGACTGCCCAATTCAACAGAATATTCTTGTTTTACCTTAATGATACTTCCCATTCCCGTCTCCAAGTTAGCTGACATCGTAGTCGATGCAGTGATCACACTGAGATCCGTCATTTGGATATCCATTTGGCACGGACTGGAATTGGGATGGTGTTGCTCGTGCGAAGGAGGCGTAGGAAACATCTTTGTTAAATCCTCCGCTTGTATCATACTGGGGCCGCCGGTACCGCCACCATTGTTGCTACTACTATTTATCAAAGAGTTCGTGACATTGGTTGTATTACTGCAGTTTTGTAAAGCAGCAATAGCAACCGCACCGGCGGCAACCGCAACTGCAACTGCAGTGCTTCGTTTAAGGTCATCAATGGTAGTCGTAGAGGCGGTACCATTGGATGGATTGTTCGAGTCGGGTGGGGTGTGTATTTGAACACTGCCGCAGTCGTCATTCGAGGTTTCGAACAGCTGCTCCAGGTCATTCATTGTTGGGTTTAAACCTTCAGCTGTGTAAAGGTTTCCACTAGCGCTGCTCTTGCCCTCCTTACAGGGTGATGCTGTACCCTGCAGTGCATCCGTTGCTTGTATGTCCAGACTTTGGAAGTAACCACTAGCACTACTGTTCCCATCAATGGTCGTACTGCTGCCATTGGCATTTGCCATATTGGCTCCATGGGCGGCTATTCCCACCAAGCCGCCACTTACAACTCCACCCATTGAGGTTGCATCCATTGTAGTACCGCCGAGCGGGTTCACGGAAGCGTCTATGGATAGTAGCTGTGAGCCGTACAATGAGCCTGGTGATGGCATCAGAGGCTTGGAGTGTGTATGACCTTCGTATAAATTTTTGGTGCACATGCTGCGACACGGTTTAGCCGCTTCATTTAGTTTGAACCGTTTCATTGGATGGTTCGCCCTGAAAGAGTGAAATTCAAATTTGAATACAGATGACAACACCAAAGAAAGTGATATTTGATGCATATATTTTTGAATGTGTATTTGAGACCTCACCGCTGGTGCCATATTAGTAAACATACGGCAAATTAAAACAATTCTCAAACACTGATTTTTACTTTCAGAGCCAAAAGATAGAAATTAACATAAGCTTAACTGCAAGTTCCCCTTATTAACTCTGAACTTGAGGTTATTTTGGTTTACCCCTTTCCCAAAATACTTACCATGCATTCTGAAACGTAAAGTCGTACAAAACATCAAATTTTGAGCAATCATCATTCGCGAAACTATCGATATCCTTTACTTTGATTTCAGGCATCTTAAAAGATTTCCAGTAATCATTGATCGCGTCTGCAGCTGAAATACCAGATGCCGCAGACACAATAGGGAGGCCGTTACGAGTACACGCACCCGCCATGGATGTTGAACCATAATCTGGCTCAGTTTTAACTTGCTCAGTGCTGAATAGTGGTAAAGACGTTTGCTGCAACTCAAATTTCTTGATTGTTATGCTGCCACATTGAGGGACAGCAGTCTCCGCGGATGAGCCCAGTATTTGTGCTTGTGGCCCTTGGTGTTGTTGCTGATGCTGTTGCTGGCTAGAAATAGTGGGTGTGTTGCGACCTACACTCGGCGGTTGTGGCACGCTGCCAGGGCCATTCGGTCCAAGGCCACCCATACCGCCGTTGCCACCCTCAACAGATGGCGGCGGCTCAACGCTTGGCGTCGGCCGCACATACGGTGACGTTGTGATGCTTTTATTATCATGCTGGTCGGTGGGCGTAGGCGCCGGCGTGTTCTTGTCCAACAAATGATCTATGGGTGTTGATGGTTGTTGCAAATTCGAAACGGAAGGAGGTGCGCGTGGACTCATCGTCATTAGCTGTAAAAGTAG